AGAACTACAACTTCTTCAAATTGTTTTTTTCTTATATTCATATTCGCAAAACATTCGCAGAGATTTTGGGAATGCGAATGCGAATGCGAATATTCGTTACATCACTAGTACCGATATAAGTGGCACGCGTGGGTTCAATATTTACCTAATTTTAATATCGACAGCGTACACACATAACAAACACACACTCATGCATACCATTATCCCTTGCAGGGTTGGCGTTAATACTTTTACTATTTATTTACAATGGAAAATATGCAGCTGCCGTAGTCTATGGTTTTTCTCTATCTACTGGCCAATAAAGCATAAATATGTGTGTGGAGACATAGTTTTCAATCTTATTTATGCCACGTCTAGAAGAATTTATTATATAAATAAAATTTTAAGGGAAAAAATTATTGTGTTCTTTTTAGCGCATTTAAAAAAAGCATGTTTTTAAAAAGTTTAAAAACAAATGTACAAATAATAGGTACTAATGGAGCGAACTCCATTAGTACCTATTATTTGTACAGCGCCTGCTTGCATCCTTGCACAAGCGTGGTAGTGTGGGGCAACACGCACTGGCCAGGCTGGCTGCAGGCGGTCACTCTCGTGGCCCTCGGAATCGGACGCTTGGCCAATGGTTGGCGCTGGCGGGATGTGCGCTATTATTGCCCCACATGCACGGAAAATAAACAACAATCGTGTAGGATGTCCATCATTTAGTTCCGTCATAGAACCATCTGGAAATTAGATATGTTTAGTTCCTACCCACCAACTTAATACTTTTATTATTTGCGATTGATTGTTGGTAGTATATGTTACCATACAAAATGTAAAACGAGTAGTGATATTCGTACTCATATGAACCTAAACCTAAATAAAACAGACCAGATCACCTGAAAAACATGATTGTTCTCAAAGTAATTAGTTTTGTACGGGTGAACTTGAAGGTAAGCTTTCGAGGTAAACATATATCTAGCGCCCAACACCTGTTTACGTCGTACAAGTAGGGGACTTTTTGCTTAAATTGGAGCACCTTTCTGGGGAATTACCCTCTAGTCTCCACCTTAGAGAAGACCACAGTTTAATAAGGTGTTATCTTCCTGTCAGCGATGAGCGAGTAAGGTTCTAGGGCCCGTATTAATAGATCGCTCTCAACTGTGAGAGTGATTTTGAGTACGACATTGAGGTGCTGCTTTGTATGAAAACAGTATCTCAAGATCGCTCACAGAGTTGAGAGTGATCTATTAATGCGGGCCTGGGACTCCACGGGGTTGGGTCGGTGTTGTAGTTACGGTAATCAACGCACGAGTGACATAAAATGTTATCATTTGTGAGCGTCTGTAGGCTGAGGCGGTCGCTTATCAAAGGGCTGACCAAAATATACTTATGGTATGACCTTTTTACATAATAAATAGATTAACTGAAGATTAAATATTAAACAGTTAACATTCAAATCCTATCAACAGCCGTATCGTTGTAATAGCGGAACGAACATCCGGAATTTTGCCCATTAAATTTATTATAGCGTACCTGGTCTACGTCATTTTTAGCTTAGCAGGATTATTTTGATCAACTTTTGTACATTTAATAAATTATTAAGTTTGTATTTACAGGCACATTTATCTACAAGGTTGGTTTCTTGTCAATACCATAGTTATATTAGGTTGGTTTTCTTTATTTTAAATAATTATGCAGTAGCAATAAATATACATGATTGTATGTTGCATATTTAAATTGCCGACTTGTTGTTGACCCTTGCTCTAGCACAGCACGACAAGCAACCAATTCAAGCTACAACTACTTAGGATATTATTATAGTATTTTTCATTTTTTTCTTTACATTATATCCGTTAAAATAAATTTTGCCCGTCAAATGTATGAGCGGATCACTGGTATATATATTATAGACTAGTGGCCCGCCCTCGCTTCGCTTCGGTGTAGAGCTGTAGTGTAAACTATAGTTTTTGTTCTCAGGCTTGTGCTATAAAGAATGACTTTATTTATATAATTACACGTGTTATTGTGAGTCAACCATAAAAGATAGACATATGCTGTTGCGGGATATTCTTTAGACAATTTTATGTAGAATATTTCCGTCATACATGATTTCTATGTATTTAACCATTAAGGCTGCACCCGCGACGGAAGCTTAAAAAATGGAGTAACTTCTCCCGTTTTCCCAACATTTCCCTTCACTACTCTGTTGCTATTGATTGTAGCGTGATGAAAAGTATACTATAACCTGCCCAGGAGTATGATGAATAATTGTACCAAGTTTCGTTAAAATCCGTTGAGTAATTTTTGTTTCTATAAGGAACATACACACAGACAGACAGACAGACAGACGAAAAATTTACTGATTGCATTTTTGGCATCAGTATCGATCACTAATCATGCCCTGATAGTTATTTTAAAAATATATTTCATGTACAGAATTGACATCTCTACAGATTTATTATAAGTACTTATAGAAGATGTGAAAGTGAGTTTGTTTGTTACGCTTCCGCGCCCGAATAACTAAATCGATTACGATGAAATTCCCTGTAGAAATTGATGGGACCTTGGTTCTAAACTACATTATCGAAATATTTATAGGGTTAGGGTAATGGGAGGGGTGGTTTACCTATAAAATTTTATATTATTTGCTTCGAATTTTGCAGAATTATCGTTTATAATTACAAAACCAACATTGTCGCTAGCTGATTAATTAAGACAGGGAGTCTATTAGGTATGTACCTTGTAGCGAATAATAGGTTTATTCTCATTATGGTAACCCTTTAGTAACATGAAGTAATATTGTTAAAATAAACTTTGAAATCGTTTCATTCTGAGTTATTCATTAAATTTCTAAAATTATAAATACCTATTATGATAAATTATTTTTCATCATTTAATAAGAAGGAACTTTATCACAGTTTTATTGCAAGTATTTCATAGGATTAGATACTGCGAGTAGCCCATTTTTTTTTTCTTTTCCTTCTAGGTTCTATCTACGTTTATAAACACCAAAATTCATCAACATTTCTTCTCAGACCATTCCCGCAGTCTACTTCTGCATAGTACACCGCTCTTTCATTTTGTCATCGTTGTAACTTTTTAAATATTTGTCGAAATTACACAGAGTAAAAGGCAAAGTTTATTGTCTCTTAATATCTAAAGCGATAAAAGTATTTGTTTGAATCAAAAATAATTTGTTTATACAAAATATGCATTTTGGAAATTTATTTCAAATAAAATTATATTTTTGATTTACTATTTTAGCTATAATGGCTTACTCATTAAAAATAGATATATGCTGACCCGGACTTTTTTGCTGAACTATATAATAGATACATTTCCACCATACATTATATTCATGTAACTTTTATTGTTTTTGCAGTGCAGGCCAAAATGGCTCGCAGATGGGAGACTTTTTCCGTCTTACGTTACACTTTTTGTTATATTTTGGCCAATTCACCAAATAACTATATAATTATAATCTATATGCTATTATGATGTATGAGCTATATTATTGGTTTGATTAAAATCCATTTAGTATTTTTTGAGTGAAAGAGTTACAAAGATCCATACAAAGGTAAGATTGAAATTAAAAGCGCAAGTGGTTAATATACAACTTTAAATCGTTGTAGATCCTAAACAATCATATAAAATGAAAAATGGTGTAAGAAACCTATGCATGATTTTCGATTATCTAGACCATGATACCCCACTCGACATATTTCGTCAACTTATTTTTTTTTCTTTCCCACAATATGGCGCTCACTTGTCTCCATATTGAATCTCGATTATTATCATATCTTTAGTAGCACTCCCATGATTAAGACGAATCGATTGGTGTATGAATCATTGAAATCGGTCCACGCGTTTGGTCTCTAGTGTGCCACAAAGGAACATACATACATATGTAGACTGTTAAACACCATACCCTGTCTGCGCGTCGCGCATTGCGCAGTCGGGTAAAAAGAAAGGTCAAAATGTAAGTTAAAAATGAATCTCAGCAATAAAGGTGCGAGATCTTCTGACACAAGTATTATTATACTTAAAAGGAGATCTCAACCCTATTTCATGTCATCGGTTTTATAGAAACAATAAAAGCATTTCATATCAGAAAATATTGACGTTTCAACTTTCAACCAATCTGACCCTGCCTAGGGCCAATTTTATATGATAAGAGCAGCAACACCACTAAAAGATAGTGTCAGTTCATTGTGGTCCTCTGTAAGGTGGAGGTTATTGCCCCAGACCACCCCTCCTCAATTAAAATACCTTATGTGACGTCTTGTTTTAAAACTTAGCGGGAGCGGTGAAAATTGTTGTTGCTAAACCCATTACAAGAAGCCCAAGGTCCTATATTACATTAAATGTGTAGCTTCAGGTCTTCTTAAGGTAGAGGATAAAAAAATTGGACATGTTAAACCCTTGCTTTATCATCATCAGTCTATAAATGTCCCCACTGCTGGGGCACAGGCCTTCCCTATGGATGGAATACGGAGATTGGACCATAACCCACCACGCGGGCCCAGGGCGGATTTATTTATTTGTCTGGGTTTTCGATAGACCCTTCAGTGTTTGTGTTGCACACAGCCGAGGAACTGAGCCTCGTATATTTTTGGTTGACCTCCTAAAACCGCAGCCATTTCGAAAGTACTAAGCTTCCACAAACGCGCTAACCACTTGCGCCATCGAGATCCTCTGTACTGCAATTGTAAATTATAATTTTTTTCCATTACAGAACAGTCTGTGATTCCCCAACTGGGGGCCATTCGCCTAACGGAAATGCTTTGGAAAGCGCTAACGCTTTCGATTTTATTTCGTTATTTCTGACCGCCGAAGGTTTTCAAATACTTCACGCTCTTTTTTTTAATATTATTATTACCAATACGAAAGAAAAAAAATCAGGCGGCTAGAAAAAACAAAATGAAATCGTAAGCGTTAGCGTTTTCCAAAGCATTTCCGTTAGGCGAATTACCCCCTGGTCTGGTACTGTGATAAATAAATATTTTCTTCTTCCTCAGCGCCTTACTTCAGCGCGTGCTCCGCATCAGACCCGCATTTGAACCAGTGCATAGAGCGGGTGATCTCAGCGGGTGGAGCGCAGTTCGCGGACGGACTCCCAGCGCTGGGCGTGGCCCCGCTGGACCCGCTGAAGCTGGGCAAGGTGGTGGTGGACAACCCCGCGCTCAAGCTCGTCTTCACCGACACCGTCGTCACTGGCCTCAAGGGGTTCAAGCTTAACTCTTACAAGTGAGTGTAATGAGTGAGAGGCAGAAAACGGTAGCCGTTTTCTGCCTCACCAGGTGGCGCCACTGTTGAGTGAGGTCCTAAATTGTAACTTTTAAAGTTTATTAATACGCACATAAAATCAAAGGTTACATTTAGATCGTATTTTAACACAAAAGAACCATATCCTAAACATAGTAGGCCATGCCACAGTGACGCGCAGTTCCGTTTTATTCGGAAAAAATGGGAATTTAATCATTTTTCTAAGCTCAAATTTTTTGAAATGAAATGAAATGAACCTCACGCTACACTAGCGCCTCTAGCGGCGGATTCATACGCGATAGCCCTCATTATATATAAGGTGCAGCAAATCGCCCTGTACTACAGCCGACTTGATGTTAACTGTAAGTACAGTCGGGAAGCAGCAGAGTTGTGTATCGCGGTGGTATCACACCATCCTTACCTTGCTAGCCTGAATCAAACCCTCCACCACGTGGAGTTCTGGAAACTTACTCACCAAGAAAGAAATGAAACACCAAAATTATATTTATGAAATTCTCTATTCTTTTTTGTCATTAATAACAAGCCACTTAGGTGAATACAATTTGAACGATTTTCCTCATTATAGAATGAACGCTGCGCGTAACAAGGCCACCATAGACTTCGTGGCCAACGTGACCCTGAAGGCGCACTACGTGATGGACGGCCAGGTGCTGATCCTGCCCATCAGGGGCGACGGACCCGCCAAGATCAAGATCAGTAAGTACCTATTTAACGTGACCTTGAAGATGAAGGCGTACTACGTGGTTGAAGCCCTGCTGTTGATCCTACCCATCAGATCGCCATGATCGCCAAAATCAAGATTAATGGAACGTACCTCCTAAACTCAAAAAAATTTACTCCAAAAAATAAGAATCTTCAGAAAATTCACAAATTAGTAACAAAAAGAAATAAAATAATTAATTTTTCATACCATTTGCTCAAAAAAGTAACATTCTATGATACAAAAAGCGAACATAACAATAGTCATTTTTAATCTGTTAAAAACAGGGAAAGAAAATTGCACTGAATTTCATTCATCCTCTAGGGGGAAAATGCGATTTAAATTTGGAATACTTACCGAAATTTATACTGAACTACATCTGTGTTTACACCATTGAGTTTGTATATAAAGCATTATACATATTTTTGAAAAAGGAATACGCATATCTCATATTATTATTGTGTTATTTTTTTCGCAAATGGTACGAAAAGTAGAGTATTTTCCTCGGTGATAAAGCTGTCTTAGTCTTGGGTTAACTTAAATCCCTCGCTACACTCAGGACTCGTCTTAAATCCCTCGCTTCGCTCGTAATTTAAGTTTTTAACACCCTCGCTACGCCCGGGAGTAAACCTCGAATCCTTCGTTACGCTCGCGATTTAAATCGTTACCCGCGACAGAAGACACTGCTTTATCCCCTTGGTTAATAATCTACTATTCTCAGGCAGGTAAATGCATCACGTACCTTGACTTACTCTGTTTCGATTGAATTACTTTCTCATACAAAATTTCCTTCCCTATATTAGGCTTGGCTATTTCACTGTAACAGACAAATATATGTATAGCATTCATTATTTAAGGAAACTGTTTTTCTAATATTTTTAAAACTAACAATTTTGTTTACTATATTTAAGAAAAGGAGGTTTTTAAACAAACAATATTTGCTACAGCCAATCTACACATCGTGATAAAGTACGACTTCGACACTCGCGACGGGCACTGGGTGGTGACCAACTACAAGGATAACTACAAGATGGAACACGCCTACTTCAAATTCAGCAACCTCTTCAATGGAAACAAGCAGCTGGGTAAGACTTCCTTTATGTAAAGAGCACAGAACCTTGAAAGAGGTAAAAGAGCGACAAAAAAGCGTGTGCCCCGCCTGTGGTAACAGTAACCTGCCACCACAGCCTTACGAGGAGCTCGATGGCGCAGGTGGCTAGCGCGTTCGGCTGCGATCGTTGAAGTTAAGCAACTTTCGCAGTGGTCGGTCATTGGATGGGTGACCAAAAATTTACTATCTCGAGCTCCTCCGTGCTTCGGAAGGCACGTTAAGCCGTTGGTCCCGGCTGCATTTGCAGTCGTGAGCACCCACCAATCCGCCCTGGGCCCGCGTGGTGGGTCATGGCCCAATCTCCCTATTCCATCCATAGGGAAGGCCTGTGCCCCAGCAGTGGGGACATTAATAGGCTGATAATGATGATGATGATGACAGCCTTACGATACCGGCTTATCCTTTTTCTACCACGTGGCGTTCATTTTGTCAGTATGATATTCAAGTACTTAGTTTTTTTTATGTCTGGGAAATGCCCTAGCACCCTTCAACCACTGGGGGAGCGAGAAGAAGGTATGTGAGATTCCTCCCTGCGCATTTACAATCATAATCAAAATCATTTATTCAGTTAAGGCTGTTACAAGCACTCATGAATGTCTAGAAGCTACGCCATCGGTTCGTAAATCTACGGCGGGAGACCTTGTACTGAGAAGAACCGGCAAGAAACACAGCAAGGGCTGTTTTTTTCTCCCTGTTTTATTATTTACAGAGTCGTCAAATTGAAAAATGACTTCAGAGATGATTGATGAAGTCACCTTTCATTACATAATTATTAAATATACATTAATTGTTTACCTGCATTTTGATTGCTGTGTCATACAGTATAAATACAAATAGTTTCAACCAGCCCTGGGGCTCGCTGAAATGAACTGAGGACCGCAGTCCCCCCAATGCGCGTCGGGAGTGCGGGTGATACCAGTACTTAGCCTACAAAACTCGACACATTAAAATACACGTATCTATACCAAATTCTTACTTCCACGCTCAACCAACTTTAGAAACACTTATGTGTACCTAGACCTACCCTGTGGTTCAGTCTTCACACACGCTAAAATATATCATCGCCTTTTGTTAAGCCTCGAAGTCACGGGTGAGTTTACTAGGTACAAGTCAGCGTGTTCGGTAGAAGCTTAAAACTAGGCTCTTGTCATTGGGGTTTTTTACAATCTGCTAGTGGACTATTCGCTGTTAAAAGCTTTCATATATAACTAGCTAGCTTTTAATCTCGCCGACTAGCAGCTCGTAAACTAGCCACGTGTCATCGAGGCATTTAAATTGTAATAATTTGTAATTTTATGTTGACAATTTTATTCTCAAATATGCGTAAGTTAATGAGCCATAAAAAACACATGTTTTTAAGAATGTAGATAAGCGTAGTCGTCCTAATAAATAATGTGTGCGCGAAATAAAAAAATGTGAATTTTAAAACCGCGATTCAAATTAATAATATGCCGACCGACTTAGTATGAACAACCTAAATGACATCCGGATCCGCGTGATTTATGTTATATACAAATTCCACTCGAGTAATTATTGTGTATTCCCGGTTTATTAGGACGATGACTTGAACTTTGTACTCTAAACTTATTATTTTTTGTGAGTGGTTATAATTTTGCACATACGCCGACGAGTAGAATGGATAACTCTTGACCATGGACTTTCCATATAAAACGTTTATATCACGGTGAGTTCATGGTCTCGACTCTGCACATAGTTCCCGTTTTGTAGATTCACATTATATTGCATATTGTACCAGTTTTACCCACCACTATGCTATACTACTGCAACTCTCCTCAAATTCCACACGTACCAACTGTGTACCTACTCTTCTCAAACTCTGTACTTTACAAATGAACTCATCTGAAACTTTGTGCGGACACAGTCACTCACAATATACTCGAACCACATTTTACTTTGTAACAAGTGACCCCGAACAAAAAGACTAAGCTATACTTGTCATGTTCTATACAGAATAAGAAAGAGAGAATGTTGATTTTGACTGTTGATAGCGACTTTTTACAGATTATAAAAAATGTAATAAAAAACCCCCCGTTTCTCCCCAAGCCCAAAATTCTTCCCCCCATGAATCGCTTTAAAAAACCCCCAATCTGGCATCAATGGACTTAGCACACAACAGAACAGCGGCACCCGTTTTCCAGCGCAGACGACACACAAGTTCACGAACCAATGGAGCCAGAAACAACTTACTTTGTAACTGGTATCCTCAAACAAACTGACAGCACACACCATACTCGTATTGCAGCGGAGACGACCCACAAGTTCACGAACCAGAACTGGGAGCTGATAATGCAGGAGATCGCGCCGCCCGCCATCAAGGGCATCATCCGGAGCTGCGTGGACGTCGTCAACGACTTCTTCGCCAAAGTGCCGGCCGCGGAGCTACTCCTGTGAACGGTCTGCACAACTTCACATACAAACATACTAACATTAACTTATACTATTGGTCGTTTTAAAAGCAGAAAGTAAATTTTACAATAGAAAAGCCAAAAAAAGGTTATTTCAATGTTTTTAATGTATTTTTCGCCAAGATATTGATAAGCTATTTGCTAGGTATTTTCAGACGTCTATGACTATGTATGATTGTGTTATATGTATAACTAGTGGCCCGCCCTCGCTTCGCTTCGGTGTAGAGCTGCAGTGTAAACTATAGTTTTTGTTCTCAGGCTTGTGCTATAAACAATGACTTTATTTATATAATTACACGTGTTATTGTGAGTCAACCATAAATGATAGACATATGCTGTTGCGGAATATTTTTTAGACAATTTTATGTAGAATATTTCCGTCATACATGATTTCTATGTAACTTTAACCATTAAGGCTGCACCCGCGACGGAAGCTTAAAAAATGGAGTAACTTCTCAAGTTTTCCCAACATTTCCCTTCACTACTCTGCTGCTATTGATTGTAGCGTGATGAAAAGTATACTATAACCTGCCCAGGAGTATGAAGAATAATTGTACCAAGTTACGTTAAAATCCGTTGAGTAGTTTTTGTTTCTATAAGGAACATACACACAGACAGACAGACAGACAGACAGACAGACAGACAAAAATTTTACTGATTGCATTTTTGGCATCAGTATCGATCACTCATGACCCCATGATAGTTATTTTAAAAATATATTTCATGTACAGAATTGACATCTCTACAGATTTATTATAAGTATAGATGATAGATCATTGGTATAACGAGTTCAATGTGCCGTGGGAGATAAATAACTTACAAGACCGCTCGAGCTCCTTAGTGAAGTATTGGGATAGGGGCAGCATTACAAAAAACTTTGAATAAAATAACTACTTCTGTAAATCACTTGCAACCCAAAGTACATAAGCTGATGAAGCATTTGCGTTATGGAAATCGGAAACAGGAATCTTGCAATGCTTCAGACGATATCACATGAAAGCAGTTGCAAACCACTTAGCGTACGGAACATTCTGTTCTGTAGTTTAGCCAATGAGGTTGTCATTTCGAATATTATTTACCTCAGTTTTATCCGTTTCTAGGAATATAACTTCCTAGAAACAGTTTAGTAGAATTATTTTTTGTAGTGTCTTTAAAATATTTTATGCCTCCGTAAACAACAATAACCTTTTACGAGAGTACTGTTCAACATTAAATGGTAATAACTATAGTAGTACTACTTAGGCTAACATAGTCGCAGTCGAAAGATTGTTAACAAAGTAATAATCTTTACTCTGCTGTACTCGTAAACTAACATGCTTACTTTATTGTAAACTAATACAATGTGCATAATATATATATTGCTGTGGCACCCACATAAACATGAGTTTGCCTATACTTGCAAACTATAACTGACTACATTAAGTACCCGCAGTATCCACTAAAGCTCATTACATTTACTACCTACATCTTACTTTACTTCCTTAACAAACATATACCATCTAAGGGTGAGGCCAAACGAGCGTAATTTTGTGAGTGGTGAGTCGCAGAATTTCGGTCGCAGAAATTCTGCTGCATTCGGTTTCATACAAATGGGCAGTTGCTGCCACACGACAACGCAAAATGAGTTGTCTGCCGACTCAATGCGCATAAGCTCGTCCGAATTTCGGTCGGGGTGAGGTTAGGGCAAGGAAGGGGAGTGGGGAAGCAACAGTTTGTTACAAGTTTTACGTGGTGTAATAATTCTTGAAAAACACGTAATGGCATATGATAGTACTTTTCAAACATATCTGGATTTGCACATAAACGTTCATATAAAGTATGGAACTGTCCACATATCAGCCTCTGACTATTCAGTGGGTTTACCCAGTTTCTTTTTCTGGCCTCATCTTCTGAATATGCTTCGTAAACACACAATATTTTTAATGGATCCATTGCACTCGACGACACGAACACCCCTTACTAACGCTCAATAGTAACTGAATAAATTACGTTCGTATGGCAGCTCAACAGAAATTCAGTTGAACGTAAAATAAGTGACCGAAAATAAGCGACTCACAACTCACAAGATTACGCTCGTTTGGCTTCACCCTAAACTGTATTTACTGTACCGCACTAACAATATACATATAACTTCATTTTCATTGCGCGCCTTTGAATCATGCCAAGGTTACTGGACTCTCAAGTATTTCTTTCTCATCGAGTGTCTTCTTTTGGCAGATGAGACAATCCACAGGGTGATCAATGAGAACTGGGAGCCGGTGATCAGGGACATCGCGCCTGTGGCCTTCGAACACATCATCAGAGCGTGCGTCGACGAGTGCAACAAGTTATTTGCAGCCGTTCCTGCTGCAGAACTTTTGCGTCCATAGAACGGAATATTATTTTAGACTTAGCTTATTATGACTTAAAGGTAAATTGTACCTACTGCGTGGGAATATACCTACTCTCATACATAATCATCTGAAAAAGATTAGTGCTGTTTAAATATTATTTATAGATTTTTTTAAGCACATTGGAAAGTGTACCTTCTGGAAGTAGGTATATATTATGGGATTATAAGTTTTTAACTTTATTCTGTTGCCATCTCATTAATTTTATAATATTTAATTATGTAATAATAAATGATGAATCTATCTTTCCCTCAATTAGGATGACTAGTTTTTGCATAAATTATAAATTGATATTGTTACACTATATCATTCACATTATATATATACAGTGTATTGGTATCTATTTACAATTGGCATGTAGAGAAGTTGCATCAAGATAAGCTTGTTGATTCGAGCTAGAAATGCGCGACTTCGAATACTACTAATACTAATCATTCGACGAAGTTGACTGCGCTTTATAATATTCGATTGGCATCATCGGCGCGCGTCACACGCAGCGACATTTTATATTAGTATTAGTAATTAGTAGTCGTCATTCGAAAATTACATTAGTATACTACGAAGTTGCCTTTTGAATAGCCAAATTAGCAGTTACGAATTAGTCGAAAGGTAAAATCATTTGTAGTTGCGTATCGCTAACTCGAGCACTCATTCTTGTTTATCATTCAAACTGTCACACAACCGTGATAAAATAAGAATGTGTTTCAAATGGTTAAAAAATAACTATTAGGAAACATCAAGTTGATATTTCTTTCTGAAAAAAGTATAACTGTTAGTGTTTCAGTAATTACATTAATTCATTAAACACTATATTTTTTTATGTTACAATATTAAAGACATAATTATATAGGTTTTTAAAAATTTGGACTAGGTTTTGTAGCTATTAAGAACCGGACTTATATTTTTTAGAATTTTATGTGAAGGGAGTAATAATTGAGTAGTATAGCTAAAAAATAGTTTCTGTTATATGATGTGATAATTGCTGCTAAGATATAGGTTAAGGACTGATTTAGACATAATTTATTGTAATAAAGAGTTAAACAGATTAATCCTTCTTTTTCATTTTCTAGCCTAAACCACAATAAAAAGAAATATGAAAAATATAACAATATTTATTTTTATTGTAAAAGGAAATTAAATGCATAAAATCTTCATTTATAACCAACAATATTGCGCTTACATACTTAGATATAGAAAGATAAGACACTTGTAAATGTGATATTAATATACATAATAATGCTGTTATAGAAACCTAAAGAAAATTTTACTAGAAAAAGTTCCACGCAGTCTAGACATCAGGCCAGATTAAATTTTCTTTAGATTTATAAATGTAGCAGCTCATAATAAAAATAGAATATAAAATAAACCTTCTTGATATATAAAAATATGTGCTAGAAATTCTTCAAGCAAATTCAGCTCTTTATATTTTAGTACATCTTTGGATTTTTTTATTAAATGTTAAGGTAAAGTTTGAGTTTGTGGCACTTCTTAAGTTATTAACGAGGGCACATAGCATGACGGCCTCCATCAACCGGCAGGCTGGCCCCAGTGATGTTGCTTGCTAAGTCACTGGCAAGAAAAGCTATAGTAGCTGCCACTTCATCTGGCTTCCCTGGTCTGCCCAATGCATGAGTTTCTTTGGTTCTTTCCAAAAATGCAGCATACTGTTCATCAGTGAGACCACCTCGCTTCTGGAGTTCTGTTAAAATCACTCCTGGGTTTACACAATTTACTCTTACTCCTTTAGGAGCCAGTTCTAAGGCTACACACCTGGTGAATTGATCGACAGACGCCTTCGATATATTGTATGCCAGCACGCCGGGGAAGGATCGAATGCCGTTCACACTGGACACGTTTACGATATTACCTTTACTCTTAATCAAATGCGGGACTGCGAGCATGCTGAGGTAGTAGATCGAGCGAACATTAGTGTTCATGAGCCGGTCGTACTGAGCTAGAGACGTATTTTCAATAGTACCAGTCTCGATAATACCAGCGTTGTTAATCAGAACATCCAACTGGCCATAATGATCAATCGTATTTTTCACAATTTTTTCTATATCATTCTCCTTGGTTAGGTCGGCTTGGATTACAAATGTTTGCGCCGCTTTCTCGCAGTCCTTGCTTATTTTCTGTAAATTGTCCGCATTTCTACCGGTCAAAGATAGTTTTGCACCGAGTTTCGATAAGAATACTGCTGTGGCTGCCCCAATACCGGAACTAGCACCGGTAACGATGACCACTTTCCCGGCGAAATTCATTTCGGAAATATTTCAGTTCTGCCCGACAGTTCGTCAGTAAAATGAGGAATTTTTAGCAAGCGAGTTGTTACGTAATTGTGTGATAAATCGGTTTAACTAAAAACAATGTCTTGTTTACATTCGCAAACGCAGAAAAATAGGTTATTGTCAATGTCATCATGACAATGTCAATGGTTGTTTTTAATTTACTTTACAATAGGAAAGCAAAAGGAAATAAAAATGCTAGCACTTCGTATCGATTCTAGCATGATTCTCCAAACCTTAAAAAAAAAATAGACAACAGTATATATTCTTGTCATTCTCTAATCTTTATACATATTACCGACCAAACCAGATTTTACCAAATCGTCTAAAGGATGAACTAGTTTGGCCAAGGCAAAATTAGTAAAAAAAAATCAATAAAAAATACCAACAATACAGGCAAAATATCCAAGTTGGACAAAATCACCCAACTTGGATTTTTTCCACGTTTCGCAGGAAATCTTTAAAGCAATATTATTTGAGCTGCTCGATTCTCCTTAATACCGCATTATTATTGTTATTATTATTATTTTTTGTATCAATTAATTTTAAATGAAACATTGGTATCGATTCTGGTGTGAATTTCTAAACTTAAAACTAAATTTAACATCAGTGTCTCCTTTTCATTCTGTATAGAGAATGACAAGGATACACTGTTGTCAAATTTAAGTTTAGGTATAAGTTTAAATATTCTCTAAAATCATGTTAGAATCGACACCATTGATTATTAATTGCACTATTTATTGATTATTCATTGAATATTGATTATTAATTCCATTTATTATTATTGATTATTAATTACATTTTACTTTACTCAATTGAATGTTGTGTGTGCTTGTAAAGGCTTGTTTATATGTCTTAGAATAAGTTTTTGTTTTATGTTCTTATATGTTAAGGTGTAAGTACACCTATTAAATAAATAAATAAGTAGTTTGTCCTAAATTCGGGTTAGGCCGGTAACATATATAATGAAGAGGGAGGCTGATCTTAAATTTAGTTTTAAGTTTAAAGAATTATGCCAGACTCGCACCAATGATTTGAGTTATGAATTTTTCTTTTAGCTCCACAGGACTCAAATTATGTGATTCACTCAGGTTATTTGTTTCCACACTGACATTTTCACGAATGATGCCTCTCAGAACATTTTACATCTAGGTGATTATTTATCCGGCTTGAAGGACCAATATCCTGTCTAAAATACTAGGGTGAAACAATGTCAAAGCTATTTTCTGTTTTTAAAAAGATTTCCTCTTTATCTCAGTATAATAAAGTTCGTAAATTCCGAAGATATACTTTGAACTTAAGCGTTGTTATTATGTTCGAAATTATACCTGTACCAGAAACGAAACATCCTAATTATTTATAAAAAAAATAGTGTTAAAAACAAACAAGGCGAAATACTTTACATAAATGGAAATTGGACATTTCACTGATTTTCACCCAAGGATATTATTTATATACCCTTGTTTTGTTTTCACCCATATTCAATTAAAAAAATATCTGTGGTTTTCACAATGACATGTTTGTGTTTGCAGCCCGGCTTCACAGATTTTTACAATTTTATTGACATGATTTTCTTTTAATTTTGACAGGAAAATGTAAATATGTAGTTTAATTTCAAAATATGTAGTGAAATTACAAAAATAATAATTAACAACCAATAAAGTATAAATTCCAGTTTAATTTATGGCTACCGTGAGTGCTCCCAAGATATTCTAATACCTACCTAATATCCTATTGATTGGATTGATCATAAAACTAAATCTATTTTTGTCATCCTTAATACTTTTACTATCTTACGCACACTTTTACGAACTGACGCTTCTGATGTTTTTCTTTCGCTCTAAAATTGTTGTATATTTTTGAACTATTATAAAGTAACAAAAAATTTCAGAAAGAAGTTATCCACATCCATATTGGTCAGGCGGGTGTCCAAATAGCTAATGCTTGCTGGGAATTATACTGCTTAGAACATAGCGTGCGACCAGATGGTATCCTTGCCTTCAATAACGATGACAGAAGCACCGGCGCATTCTTCGGAACGACGGGCGCAGGCAAAGTGGTGCCAAGAGTTGTCATAATTGATCTGGAGCCTACGCCTATAGGCAATTAAATAATTTAAAGATTTCTTTACTAGCAAAAAAAAAACAACTTATCTCACACAACTCCTAGGCTGGAGTCGAACCAGCACCCTCCTTTAACAAAGAGTATTCATGCATGCATTATTATAACCATTTCGAATTTTTTCTAGTATTTTTAGGTTACAAATTGTAGCAATCTGAGAGACTTTGTATATTTTCTTAGAGCTTTTTTTTTAAGTTCGGATCTTCTATCAGTTGTTGATTGAAGGTCCGATACTTTATTAAAAACTAAACGTTGACTATTCAATACTTCAAAATTCCAAAAGAAATAAAAAAATATTTACCGATAGCTATGAAAAATATTTACTATATTTATTCTGCAGATGAAATACGAAGTGGAGCTTACCGTCAGCTATATCATCCTTCTTCCTTGCTTACTGGTAAAGAAGATGCCGCGAGTAATTTCGCCCAGGGCTATTTTGGTGTCGGAAGGGAAATGATAGATCTAGCTCTCAACCGCGTAAGAGTTGCAGCTGAAGATTGTGATCATCTCCAGGGCTTTATTATAATTCGTTCATTTGGTGGAGGGACTGGATCTGGCTTCACAGCTCTTCTCCTTGAAGGTCTCTCTAGGGAATACGGGAAGCTGTCCAAAATTGAATTTGCAATATATCCAGCACCAAAAATATCTCCTATTATAGTAGAGCCTTATAATGCCATTCTTACGACACATGCTTGCATGAATACTGAAGATGTTTGTTTCATATTTGACAATGAAGCCCTATATGATATTTTGGCTAGATTGCTGGATGTACCTAGACCCACGTATACAAATTTAAACAGACTCGTTGCTCAGGTAGTGTGGTTCATATAGTCTATAAAATAAATATAAAGGCCCTTTATAGTTTTTTATTCATTTTACCAACAGGTGATGTCTTGTATGACCGCTTCTTTAAGATTTGAAGGATCTTTGAATGTAGAACTAGTGGAATTTCGAACTAATTTGATCCCATATCCGAGAATTCATTTCCCTTTGGTAACGTTTGCTCCATTTGTACCGCCTACGAGAGCACTGTATGACACGATGACAACCCAACAACTGCTAATGTCCTGCTTCGAACCTGCGAACCAAATGGTGAAGTGCGATCCTATAACTGGCAGATATATGTCTTGTTGTTTGCTATTCAGAGGAGATGTTAACCCGAACGACATTAACTCCGCCATTAACCAAATCAAAAATATGAGAAGTATTCAATTTGTATCATGGTCTCCGACTGGGTTTAAGGTGTGAATGATTACCTAGTTGATATTTTGATAATTAATAAATAAGTCAAGCTCTAAACAAATTGAACTTAATAAGTTTTTAAATTATTTTAGATTGGAGTAAACTATCAGCCGCCACTGACCGTTCCTGGCGGAGATTTAGCAGCTCTTCAACGTGCTGTAGTAATGGTCTCCAATAGCTCAGCAATCAGCACAGCGTGGGAAAGGCTTTGTAAAAAGTTTTCATTGATGTACTCAAAACGAGCATTTGTTCATCATTATGTGAGTGCAGGTTTGGAAGAGGGTGAATTTAAAAATTCGTTAAGTAATATTAGAGCCCTAATCAACGATTATAAAGAAATTGAAGATTGATATTTACTGTAAAAATCATGAAAGTTTATATTGTTAACTTCTGTTCTTGCAATTTTTCTCATAAAAAAAGAAAATAATCTTTAATAGTGCCTTTTCTTCTTTCTGAAATAATATTTTTTTATGTAATAACCATCACATTACATTTTATAATAATCTCCTCTCATTACCCAAGTACTAATTGAAAGTGGAATTGACTATAATAGTACCCATAATAAGCACTGGTTGGATCGCAGCCTATGACACTGTTATATTGTTCAGCAAAATATCGATTCAATAAAAAGTAGCTTTAACCTATATAAAAATGTGAAAACGTCAATTTGACATTATTTTATTTATTTAATCTTTTTTGCCTTTACACTGCGAATGGCGGACTTAATGCCAATATGGCATTCTCTACCAGTCAACCGGAATGAACATACAGAGCTAAAAAAACGGCAGAATCAAAGAAAAGAGATTAAAATCAAACAATGAGCAAATATGCTAACACTTAAATATACATACGACCATACTTATATAAATATACACACAAATACATGTAAATAAATATATACAAATACATGTACACGCACATACTTATAACACATATACTTTGTCGGATAGTGCCTATTCTGATTGAGATTAAGGACTGTGCTTTAGATTAAGGTAGTGTTCCTGCGCCAAAGTCTTAGGCCCGTATTACAGAATGACAACTAAGTGTTGATCTTTACGTGAGTACAGTTAGAAAGGGACATCGCTATGTGCTATATATAGCGACATCCCTTTCTAACTATGCTCAAGACTAGATCAAACACTGAGAATCTTTCTATAAGACGGGCCTTATTAAACACAATCCTGCTTTGAGCATTAGGGTGCGGCCAGAGTGCACTCAGATTCAGATTCAGATTCTGAAAACAAGCGCGAGAAATAAACAGTGTAGTCTAAGCAGGTTGCCTGCTTTTTCTCGCGCTTTGTTTTCTGAGTCTGAATCTGAATCTGAATCAGGAGTGCAATCTGGCCGTACCCTTCGACTACACTGTTTATTTCTCGCGCTTGTTTTCGGAATCTGAATCTGAATCTGAGTGCACTCTGGCCGCACCCTTACGCACGTTCAAAGGAAGTGCATTCCAGAGCCGAACGGCAGTAAGGGTAAAAGAGTTTGAGACAAACCTAGTATGGTGAATGGGTACATTGAGTAACACATTATTAGTGCGTATTATGTGCCACACTCACATTCTAATGTAAATAATAATAATCATAAAACTGAAGACTAGGCTGTATGGGCATAGTTTCCTTTGCCTTTCGTGAAAAGGGAGAACGTAAAATAATTGACTGACGTAAGTTTATTGAAACTACTATTGAAACAGTCAAAATATTATTTCAAATAGGCCACTGCCACTATTTGTTCACAACTAACTTTATTTCTCGTAAAATAGTATAGTGTTACATGCTTTTAATCTGTCTAAATATTAATAACTAAGAATATCTTAGAAGTAAGTGTTTAAAAACTCTGTCCAATTTTGCGGTTTGTAACCTGCATTTTCAGGTATTTATATTCTAATTTTATGAAGTTTCTATTTATTGCAGAATCTTATATAAATTTTAACTCTGCAGAATACTGCAGTTAAACTTAACTTAATGGTGCATGTATCATCTCCAATAAATCAGTTTATCAGATCCATATAACTAAAATTCCAATGTAATTTTTGTAATCAGAGATGTGGAGTGCGTTTCATCTGTGCCGCTGTGCACAACCAGTAAGAGCAATACAAAGCAAACTTATTGCTTCTGGATCAAGAAATGGTTTAAATTCTGCAAAACTTCTAACAAGACACCTGTACACACCATTAAAAAATGGAAACTGTAATAGACTACAGAACAGAGTGAGTACCTACTACTAAATTACACAAGCTACATTCTAAGTTTAACATGAAATGGTCCAATTTAATTTCGGCTTATTGATCAATTTGAAATAATAACAAATGATAGGTTTAATAATGAAATTATCTTATTCTGAAGAGTGAGTGAAAAAATATAAGTACAATTACCAGAAATAAGATACATTAATTAAGTATGTAACAAAAACCAATTCAATGAATATCAAAACCACTAACCAAGTACATTTTTAAGTAATAAGTAAAATATTATGAGTTGATGCCCTCGTGGATCTATGTTGTAGCTAAATAGAACTTTGACAGGATGGGAATCTAGCCTTCCTATTGAATAAACCAGCAGTGAGTCTAATCTATCGAAAGGCTAGAGATAAAAAAGTTTACTCACTAATTTGTTGCTGTAAATATTTTTCTCACTAATCTTTCTTAAATTTTTTTCTGATTATAAAATAATTATTTTCAACCTAACATTGTCTCTTTTCCACAGATAAGTGAACTGTTGAAAACAAATCAGATCTTTATACGCCTGAGCACATCTGCCCCTAAGCCAGAAACCTCAAAAGCAGTGGGTTACTGGTTGCTGGGTTGCAGCGGCATGGTGTTTGCAGCCGTTGTTCTAGGTATGGTGACTGGATACTTGATCTTGCTTTACAGTGTGTACTTTGTTGTTAAAGTTGCATTGAAAACAACCAATGGTAGAAAATAAAGTCTTTATAAAGAATAATTTAAAGGCATCTTGTAATAGAATGTTAATACAGACCATTGCCAGATGCTTGGCTGTAAGAGAACACAAATATGGACCTTTGATAAATTCGAGCATGAATTATGATAAAAAGATTCTTTATTGATTTAAAATATGAAGAATTTATTTTCTAGAAAACTCAGCCCCAGTGTCTTTCGAATTCTGAATTTGAACCAACATCTTTTGCTGTCTGGGCTATTTCACTAACATGGTTTAAAGGCATTAAGTTCATAACATAAAATACTATGATTTTTTTTATGACAGATCTTCCTTTGAATGTTTGATAATTTTAAAAGTATATTTTTAATTTGTATTGACCTGCCATGAGACCCAGCCTTGCAGCCTAGGATATATATAAGAATAAATTTGACATAAAGGTAAAGACATTAGTCTTAGCACAGACACTTTAGCTATAAAGGAGTTGGTTCAATTTCAGCCAGACACAAGGGGCAGACGGGAATTGAATTACAGTAGTTTAATGCTTAGAATAAAAGTATATTTAAATATAAAAAATATTTTTTTATATTTTTTAAGCATTTAGTTGCTAGATGTTTAAACCCGCACCCTTTGCTATCTGGGCGAATCATTGACCATTATGCTACCGCGGCCCTGACAGCCGTGTTAAATTTTCTCTAGCCTTAGGCTGCAAGGCAGCGCTATCTCCTCACCGACAATGCGAAGAGATAGTGCTTCAATCCATGATTCTACATTCAAGAGAGGCCGCGGTAACATAATGGTCAGTGCATTCGCCCGGGTAGCGAAGGATGCGGGTTCGAGTCCCGTCTGCTGCCTGGTCCGTGTTGAATTTTTTCTAGTAAATGTTTCTTTAAAAATAAAAGTATGATAAAAGTATTTTTTTAATGATACCTATATGAAATTTTACTATCTTTTGTTAGGATTATAAAGAGGTAAAGAGTGAGTGGTGATGAATATTTTTTTGTTAACCTATGAATTATATTTTAGATGTGTATGATGTTTATTACTAAACAATAATTTAATTAATGGTTTAAATGGAGCAAATTACACCACTTTAGGCTACAAAGTTCTTTGGTAAAAAAGAGGAACTTAAATGACTTTTTAATATGTTTAAGCAGTGGTGTCGATTCTGGCAGGGTTCTCTAAACTTGAACTACACGGTTCAAATTTGTATGGCGGGCGGTATTCAGTCTCCGACATACTTCAAATTTTTATGACATGTAATTAATTGTAAATTGTTTGCCAATAAACTAAAATTTATTTTATCATTTTTTTTTTGAATGATTCTGTTCAACATTGTTTTTTTTTTTCAAGAATTAATCATAAATTGGTATAATAATATGGTGAATTATGAAAAGGAAAAACCGGTGTAAAATTTAGTCATTAAGTAGTGAGAATCATGCCAAAATCAACACCAATATGACTTTAAATTGAACCCAAAGAATCCTTAAGCTGTGATGAGATTAATATTACTGTTTCTATTATGTGACATATAAAAATATAAGTGTTTTAATAATATTACAGACTGCAATGTCTCTTTTTCATTTTGTATTAGGCATGATAACGATTTACTGCTGTCAAGTTTAGTTGTAGGTTTGGAGAGACAGAGGGAGAATCATGCTAGAATCGGACTCATTCACACTACCTGTATTCATAATACAATGGCGTAATAATTTTACTCACGAATCTGTGCAAATGTTGTTGAAAGAGTCAAAGTTACTGTAGACACTAAAAATACAAATACATTTTGGTGGTGTTGTGTTACTGTCAGTGAGTTTTGGAATAGTCAAATATTATTTTTAGTAAAGTCATTTGGTAGTTTTACCTGGAAAGCTTTCCGGGAGTTTTGAAAATTGGTAATTTTGTAGATTTTGAGTCGCTCTTTCCGAATTTCGACTTTGCCACCTCGTATTTTTGCCGCTTACGCCGCCATATTGAAAAATGGTGCCTAAAAGCAGTTTTTTCACAATACCTCCTTTCCAACTCATTTTACGATAAAAACAGTTAATACAAAATAAAACTAGGGACAATTGCCTACAATTAATGTATCTACCTTTTTTTCATAAAGTCAATGGTTTTGGCGTACGGGTGCCGCAAAGTATACTCCAACGCGCGCTTTGGTCATTACTCATTATTCATGCAACCTGTGGCATTTAATTTCAACTGATTATATTTGTGAGTTATAAAATTAATGTAAATCTAAACTATACTGACTATAGATATTATATTATACTATAATAGACCCATGATGTAGATGTAATACCAGTCTGTGACGTTTCGATTGGTACTACAGACGATGAATTTGCAACACCTGGTCCATCGAGAACAACAAAGCGCAGGAGAATACGCTAAATTTTAGCACTTTGAATTGCATGTGGATTAGGCCTATTGGGGATACCACATTAAAAAAAACGCGCGCCTTACTTTAAGTCAAGGTGGTGTGGAAATGAGTAGTATTGGCCAAAATGCGCGTTGGAGTACACTTTACGGCGCTCGTACGCCAAAACTATTGACTTGATGAAAAAAAGTAGACACATAAATTGTAGGCAATTGTCTCTAGTTTCAATTTGTATTAACTGTTTTTATCGTAAAATGATTTGGAAAGGAGATATTGTCAAAAAACTGCTTTTAAGCGCCATTTTTCCAATATGGCGGCGCGAGCGGCAAAAATGACGAGGTGACAAAGTCGAAATTCGGAAAGAACATCTCAAAATTTATAAAATGACCAATTTTTAAAACTCCCGGAAACTTTCCAGGTACTATTTGGGTAAAACGTTTTATTATGTTTTCACGCAAAGCACTCATTAAATAAAACAAGTTTCAACGGTATAGATGCATTGATTTATTTATTGAAGAGGTTTCGCATCCTTTTCAGGCTGCGTCGTCAGATTTTTGTGACATAAATACGTTGTTTTTACTCTAGACCTAATTCTAAAATTGACGCGGACGATGTCACGGGCTAGTTGTTTATTGAGATCATTTAGTATACATAGGTCATTTGGCTTAGACTTTCTGTAAATGTTACTGTGCTGTACTGTATAATATTACTGTAGTACAATGACATTTAAATAATTCTTAAGAGCTTGCTGTGAAGCATGTATATTGTAAAGTGAAAAATAAATTTATTTTATGTAATTATATGATCGTTTTATTTCCGATCTAATTTTCAAGTTATTATTATGTATATAACAATAGTTTTATGATAGAATATACAGGGCGTCCGACGGCTACCTCACACGGAGGGAAAGTATATTAAATATTAGTTTATCCTTTCGATGGTTATCATAAAATATGTTGTGTTTATTTTTTGAAGTTTCACGAGTTTGATTCCCAGTTGTAGCAGGCGATATACGGTTGATTTAAAAAATCCGTGAATGCAGTTCTAGTTATTATTAAAAATAAAACGATGTCTCCTTTCAGTAAAATATCCTATCTTTAATATTTAATATACTATCCCTCCGTGTGAGGTAGCCGTGGGACGCCCTGTATATCTATACAAGGTTTCATTATGAAGTTGCAAAAACTTTGTTTGAAGCTTTATATGCCATCCTCCTTATATCTATAATTCAACCTTCTGACATCAAACGTACACGTTAAAATATAAAACATAAGTTACAAAGATGTTATAGTTAACTAGTAGCAAGTGTCAGCGACTTTGTCTGCGTGGTCTAAATGGTTTCCCATTACAAAAAATATTCCCCATTGGAATCCCTTTAAGTTATATTTTCCCCATCGCATCTATGTACATCTATTCATATTAATCGATGCAGTGACATATAATTTTCCAAAGAATTCACTTTTAAGGGAATACTTTATAAACGCGACAAGACACAAGAGTTTTCTAACTAAGAAATGGGTCTCGGCTGCGTCTGCAGCCTTTAGCACTCATTAATGCATTCTGGTGTCCGCATCGCATCAGAGATTTTGAAGTGACTTTGTCTATGAAGAAGAGTTTGTGCCTCGGCAGAGGCGATAGTGTTAATATTGAGTATGGTGTATTTAGGTGGGGTGACGAGGCTGACCGAGTCCGGTCTCTCCATGGTGACGTGGCGGCTGCTGGGGGAAAAGCTGCCCACCACTGAGGAGCAGTGGCAGCAGGAGTTCCACAAATATCAGCAGTACCCAGAGTTCAAGTAGTAAGTGCCAATATCTGGTCTCAATCATTTCTCTTACCTAAAAAGTGAAGTAGTGGCGCTGACTTGCAGCGTACCTAAGATATAAAATATATACATATTCAGTAGTTCAATGATGGTAGATTAGTTTTATGAAAGTTTTTGTATAATAGTAATTCTATTTATTTTAGAGGAGCTCGATGGCGCAGGTGGCTAGCGCGTTCGGCTGCGATTGTTGAAGTTAAGCAACTTTCGCAGTAGTCGGTCATTGGATGGGTGACCAAAAATTTACTATCTCGAGCTCCTCCGTGCTTCGGAAGGCACGTTAAGCCGTTGGTTCCGGCTGCATTTGCAGTCGTTAGCACCCACCAATCCGCACTGGGCCCGCGTGGTGGGTCATGGCCCAATCTCCCTATTCCATCCATAGGGAAGGCCTGTGCCCCAGCAGTGGGGACATTAATAGGCTGATGATGATGATGATGAATTCTATTTAATTGAATATCAAAATACGAGGTAAACCTGCATTATTTTTTTGGGAAAACTCAAGGAGGTTAGATGTTTTTTTTTGAAGTTATACTTCTTTAGCCGCGTTATGAAAAAATGATGAGAGTGAAATTTTAAGATGCGCGCGCAACACAGTAACAGAAAAGTAACACCATGAAGTCGGCCGCTAAACCGCACATTACTCGTAAGTCTCGAAAAAAAGCTTCCAACAAAATAGTACCTAATAGGATCTCTTAGTCGCACATGTTGGGACGCTCGTCGCCTCTGATCACTGTTTTCATATTTATAATATTTATCCACATGTTTCTAGTTTCTATATTCTTAACACGTGTTATAATGTTATACAAATGCGAAATTTATATGTGCTAATAAATTTTATTCAATAGTGATTTAAATTGAATATTTTGATTATTTATTAAAATTTCAAATTAAAACTGAACTTTATTGACTGCGTTGACTATCCTTTTCCAATCCTTTTATTATCTTATTGTAATTAATTATCTGCATGCAATTAAAAACTATTTTTTAATAATTCCAAAAAGAAGTATAACTTCTCACGCGCGTACTTAAGTACACACACCCATATTTTTTTATTTTGATATTTAATGAGATAGAAAATCAAAATTCTAATACATTATGTTACAATAAAAACATATTTCTGATGTCGTAGTAAATAATTTGATCTAATTTATTGAACATTATTGAAAGATTGAGGCGTTTGAAGTTGTGCATATTATCGTTTTTTCCGTAAACTAGCTGCAGTACAACGATCAGTACAAAAAAGGAAAATAGTATTTGCAAATATTCTACAATAACTTACAAAAGGAAGAATAAATCTACTGTTTTATTCCATCGGAAATATTAAAAAAAAAAATCTAAGAGGTTAAACAAGGCGCTCAAAAAATACAGTTTTTTGCAAAAATGTGAAAGGGCTCTTATGTTATCGATAGCATAATGGTCAGTGCATTCGCTTGGACAGCGTAAGATGTTGGTTCGATTCAAACCTGATTCTGTAGCTTGAACATTTTCTAGTTACATATTTTTTAGATGATAATATTATTTTTTGTAGTTTTATGTTTAAAAAAAATATAATAATAACTTATATCATCAATATCGACTCTGAAGAGATCATCGGGATTGAAAAATATAGGTACTATGTATTGCATTGTTTAGATCAGGAATGGTAGATGTCAGTGTAAAATAATCAGGCGTACATTCAATAAAGAAACCTTCAATACTTGCTCTTTCCGGGTTTTTTTGTAAAGTATCTTCTAAGATAATCGCATCAGTTTAACTTTAATGTCAATGCATATAAATCGAACCGATGCTATCTATGTAAACTACTGGCGGTGTTGGATAAACATAACTAACTAACTAGCCGTGAATTTAGAGACATTCAGTAGACCAAGTTTCTGTCGGAAGCACGGAGCAAATACAAAGAGGAGCTGCTTATTATAACGTATTGATAACGTGTCTCGTCAATAGTTGGAGCCACATCACCAGAGTCGCTGATATCAGGGATGATGATTTAGTTGTAGGTTTGGAGAGACAGAGGGAGAATCATGCTAGAATCGGACTCATTCACACTACCTGTATTCATAATACAATGGCATAATAATTTTACTCACGAATCTGTGCAAATGTTGTTGAAAGAGTCAAAGTTACTGTAGACACTAAATACCACTACATTTTGGTGGTGTTGTGTTACTGTCAGTGAGTTTTGGAATAGTCAAATATTATTTTTAGTAAAGTCATTTGGTAGTTTTACCTGGAAAGTTTTCCGGGAGTTTTGAAAATTGGTAATTTTGTAGATTTTGAGTCGCTCTTTCCGAATTTCGACTTTGCCACCTCGTATTTTTGCCGCTTACGCCGCCATATTGAAAAATGGCGCCTAAAAGCAGTTTTTGGACAATACCTCCTTTCCAACTCATTTTACGATAAAAAAAGTTAGTACAAAAAAACTAGGGACAATTGCCTACAATTAATGTATCTAACTTTTTTTTCATAAAGTCCATGGTTTTGGCGTACGGGCGCCGCAAAGTGTACTCCAACGCGCGCTTGATATCAGGGCAGTCCATTATGCCCTACATCTCTTAAAGATTTTAGAACGTTTCCGATCGCTGAACACTATCGTCGTATTGACCTTCCGCAGCAAGAACCGGAGCATGACCCTATCGGAGTTCAAGTGGATCTGGTGGATGGAGTACCTGCACCGCACGTGGGGGCGCTGCATCGGGGTCGCGGTCGTGGGGGGCGCCGCGTGGTTCGGGGCGCGGGGGGCGCTCCGGCGGGCCGGCATGACGGGGCGCGCCCTGGTGTACTGCGCGCTCGTGGGGGCTCAGGTGAGGGGGGGGCGCTCCGGCGGGCCGGCATGACGGGGCGCGCCCTGGTGTACTGCGCGCTCGTGGGGGCTCAGGTGAGGGGGGGGCGCTCCGGCGGGCCGGCATGACGGGGCGCGCCCTGGTGTACTGCGCGCTCGTGGGGGCTCAGGTATCATATACCCCTTTTTCGTAAAATTGTTAATAAATAAATTATCAATGAAATACAGTATAAAGAAATATATTTTTAATTTATCATTTTTTTTTAACATCTTATACATAAACCGTAGACCAGCTTATGCAGTTGCAATTTTCAATCCAAAATGCACAAGTTTTTACATCCAAACTGCACAAGTTTATTTGTCTCCGCTCCTTGCTCGAGAGGTTTGCCGCTGCATGTATACGGTTTCGTATAAATAAAAAACACTCAAATTACATTCAACTATATTTGGTCCATAAAATGTGCCGCGTGCCGTATCCCGTGAGCCAACACCGTCATAACCAAAGCCATGGCGTGTTCGATGCACTCGCTGGACATCCCGCACATATAAGACACGTATTGTCGTCTCGTTCGCCCGTCATTCTCCCACTTGAGACGGCTAGATTGGTTCCGGATGTAGTTCGAATTTTCGGCGACGCAGCCGTTTCCGTCCACCCAACTAGCAGCCTTCATGAACCATCTGCGGCGGTGGAGTTCTTCGTAACCGAGCATAGAACAAAGGGCCACTGGAATAGAAGAAATCAATTCATCATCAGCCTGTAGTGGCGACATCTAAACGTCCCACATAGAATTAAACAGAGCGAGACGTCACTGGACTTGTAAACATACGACACTGCCGGCCGAGAACTCAATGATGCGGACTTTTTGGCGCGATCGGAAACCGCCACTTTAGCAGTTTTGTTTTTCTTATTAAAAATTGTGTTGTGGCGGATGTTAGTGTCTAATAATGGTAGATTATTAACCACTAAGTGTTCGGGAACATGCACAAGTGTTGGCAAGTGAAACAAAATAACGCAAAGTGTCTTTCGACGTTCCCTCAAGAAGTCCACGGGGAGGTTCCAGTAAATCCCCACACATTTACTGAAACACAGGGAAAGGGGGATTGACTTGACTGCCACTTACTTTGACTTGATATAATACTATGACCACGAGTGCTATAGAATTTGTAAACATTTTTAACACTTGACATTGGCTAAATGTCCAAGCCGTGCGAAGCCATTGAGGAAAAAAAAACAATGATGGCCATATGAATTCGACGATAATGTAGAAGACCTACATCGCGCTAACGAAATGTGGAGGCACACACTCATATATACAGAGCCCGACCTACTTCTGTCGGGTCACGGCCTCCGGACTAAGATAAGACCGCGGAGGAAGACCTTCCCTTTAGGGCAAACAACAAGTCTATTAATGCCCGAGGTTAATCCTTTTAGGATTTGCCACTTGGATTAGTAAAGAATATTGCCTATAAAGAAGTTTTGTAGTTTTTTTTGAAGTGAAACTTCTTTATCGGCGTTGGAAAAAAATTTACCGTCACATTTTTCGGTTACGCGTCACATTTTTCCGTTACGCGCCATCTTTTTTTGAAGTGAAACTTCTTTATCGGCGTTGGAAAAAAATTTACCGTCAAATTTTTATTCGGTTACGCGTCACATTTTTCCGTTACGCGCCCTCTTTTTTTATATTAATAGTTGATAGCTGAATGATCACACTGTCGCCGGCGAGAACTCTCTCTACTCGTTTGTAGCTGAGTGACAATAGTTATTAAAGATAAGACTCGCTCAGCCAAACTCGCATAGCGATACTCGCTCAGCGATACTCGCTCAGCGGTACTCGCTCAGCGATACTCGCTCAGCGGTACTCGCTCAGCGATACTCGCTCAGCGATACACACTCAGCGATACTCGCTCAGCGATACTCGCTCGGTTAAGCTGGCTTGGCTGTCAAAAGCCGTGCGCGTGCATTTTAACTCAGGACTGCCAATTCGTTTCTAGTTTCTACTCGCTTATCGTTCATCGTCGGAGGTGGAACATGTGCCTTAGATTACTGAGCCGTGTAATCATAACAGTTTCATAGGCAGTAATTTGTATTCATGTCTATGATAATAAAATCCTTTTGTTTAAACTTTATCTAATTTAACTTTATTTAACCAATTTCTGGAAAGTTGCATGTAGATCATTTTTCGAAAAATAAGGCCATAAAGAAGTTTCACTTCTTACGTGTGTACACTAGTACACGCACACATTTTTTATTAACTAAGTTCTACATTCATTACTTCACTCAAAATCAAATCTAACGCGAAAGAAGCCGCGGGTAAAACCTAGTCTAATTATTAAAAAAAATGGGTGCGTGTACTTATGTAGGCGCGTGAGAAGTTATCCTTCTTTGGCATCGTTTAAAATTCGTTTTTAATTGCATGCAAATAATTAATTACAATAAATTAATAAAAAGTCTGGAAAAGGACACAGTCAATAAAGTTCAGTGTTAATTTGAAAAAATAAATAAATAATCAAAATATTCAATTAAAATCGCTACTGATATAATTTATTAGAACATATGTGATTTGCACTTGTATGAAACTCAAACACGTATTCCGAATATACAAACTAGAAACATGTGGATAAATATTATAAACTAGCGGCCCGCCCTCGCTTCGCTTCGGTGTAGAGCTGAAGTGTAGACTACAGTTTTTGTTCTCAGGCTTGTATTATACACAATGACATTCATCTATGATTCTTCTTATACCTGCATGCAAAGTCTCAGCCCGATCGGTTTAAAATTGATAAAGTTTCATACAAACTTACATTCCTTATTTTATCCCCTTGGGATTTTCTTTATATTTTTTTCCGTAAGAACCTTGTACAGAGTATTAGAAAACTACAAAAAAAAAACAGCCAAATCGGTCAAGCCGTTTTCATGTTATGTCGTGACAACGGAAAACGGGTTTCATTTTTATATATATAGATATGAAAACAGTCTCTGTTCTAAATTCAAAACTCGTAATTTTTCCCGATGTTTGTTGCACGTGTTTCCCGCGCTAGGACCGCGAGTGGCCGCGCATGCGTACGGTGCGGCGGGCGACGCGGTAATGGCAGCGCGGTACATGAAGTTGGTACATAATGTGCGGTAAACACAAAAGTAACGCATGAAGTTGGTCGCTAAAGCGACCAACTTCATGGTGTTAATTTTTTGTGTTACATGATGCGCGCGCATCTTAAAATTTCACTCTCAACAATTTTTCAGAACGCGCCTAAAGAAGTATAACTTCAAAAAAAGCGCGCTGTAACGCTTACATGTGTGTTAAGATATGTCGAACGGAAGGGGAATCGAAAATCGTGTAATTAGTCTGTCGTAATTTATAGAAAGTCCGTTAGTTTGTCTCACAATGCTCTAAGAAGAGGTCCCGCATGAAGAATCCCCTCCTGGCCACGTAGACCGCCTCCCTGTAGCTGTGGGCGCACAGTCGCTCCATCAGGCGACTGTGTTCCGTATCCGACCGCAGGTAGCATCGCTTCGAGTACCGGATGTACGCGTTCAAAAACCCGTGCAATGAAAAGAGATATTTCATCATCAGCCTATTAATGTATCAGATTTTTTTGTATAGATAGTACAGGGTGTTTTCGGTAGATGGTTGCCACCAACTGTGGCCACTATTCCAACGCGTACAAAGAGTGGTGACTCATTTCTTTGTCGCACTATCCGTAAATGGAATGCTCTGCCCGCTCACGTGTTCCCTCCCTCTTACAACCTGGGATCCTTTAACAGAGGCGTGAATGAGGAGCGTGTGTGAGGATGGCTGGTGTGGCAGGTAGAACTGCTGTATCAGCTATCTTCGCGTCTGGACTTCACCTCCACTTAACATCAGGTGAGGTGGAGTCATTTGTCGGACCTATCTATGAAAAAAAGATGACGCTCTATAAATATTGTATATTATTTAGTAACAAGTTGTAAACTGATGCTTCTCCCACACTTGCGCGACGAAGCCTCGGGTGGCTTTGGTACTAAATGCGCTAAAATTAGCGACATTTTAATTAATTCCGTCGTAATGAAGTAGCGGGCCGCGTGTCTATAGACGCTGGACGATAACTTGACTGGCGATAATTAGGCACGCATACAATAGGTTGTGGGAGACGATAAATCGAGAGGTCCCGGGTTCGAATCCCGGTGGGGGCAGATGTTTGTGTGATGAATACGAGCATTTGTACTCCAGTCATGGATGTTTAATATATATTTCTATATAAATATACTTATATATGTACAGTATATGTATTCTATCCGTTGCCCTAGTATCCCATAACACAAGCCTTACAGTGCTTACTTTGGGTCTAGGCTAATAGGTGTGAGTGTTGGAAATATTTATTTATTTAAGGTTCCAACTCTGATTGTAGCGCATTTTAGTACGAAAGCCAACCTCTTCGTCATGCGGGTGGCAGTTAAGCATCATATGCTAACAGACGCCGAAGGTTAAGCAGCACATCACTATAATATTAATACCCACCTGTGGGTCAAGTAGTACCCCACGGAGGGGTCGGAGTATATCCGCTGCTCGCAGTAAGGATCTAATTTGCATCGACGCAGCTGTGCGACTTGTACCGGGTCGCCGTTGTACGATATGCGGGATACACAAACATCTGTAAAGGATTCTGATTTAAACTCTGGCTACTGATTACTAAAAGAAATCATCTCGATTCACCCACTGGTTAATTCGTAATTTACATTTCGCATATCTTTGTTTTGTCGTTACAATACTTTGTTTACTTCCGGTTGAAGCGACAACAGCATTCCTACTTTCTGCTGGTAACAGTCTTTCAAACCTGGTAGAAACCTAGTTATGTATCCCGCGTACAAGTTCTGCTTCAGATGGGGTTAAAAATAGGCATTATTCCGTTGTGGGTATCGAACATGCTGTATTTTGAGTAAGATAAGTAGTACCTACTTATCTTTCAGTATTGTTATAATTTATTTATTTATTTGGTTTGTCAACAATGTAAAACAATCAAACTTGATTTATAAAATATACGTAAACTAAGAATCTTATTGTATAAGTTACAGACAAACACAACATGGAACATATTTTATAGCACAGTGTGACCTAAACCCGCACTTTACGCACGCTTTTCCGTGACCTAAGTTGCCTATTTCTGCACGGTGTGTAAATGAATTGACCAACTTCACTCATGTAGAAAAAATAAAAGGAAACACATTTAAATGTCATTTGAAGCTTAAAAACTGACAGCAAACAAGAGAATTGTATCTTTGTATAATATATTGTTATGCCAGTCAAGTAATAAACGTTCATGGATACATTGAAATTCTATTTTGCTGTAATGATATTTGATTTTTTTCTTTTGAAATATACTTTCAAAATGGTAATCTGAACCGGAATTCTTTCTTTTCAGAGTTTGACTTGCAGTCTGTATTGCAATTCTTTGTGATTGCAATACATGAATTTTACTTTCAAAACACTAATCGCATCCTCCGAACCCCCCCCCCCCCCCCCCTCTTGCCCGCGTCCGGGGCGGGTTTATGTCACAATTGTTATAAAATAGTATACGATACTTGTGGCCTAAGTTGTGTCTCGGTGCAGGTCCATGAAGAGTTTTCTTATCTTTTTTGTATGTAAAAGATATATGTATCTATCGCAGAATTGTGCTGGTTGTAGCTTTTGCAGAGGCGAGGGATTGGAGAATTTTGTTCTGCGTGGAACATCTTAATGTGTGGTTGGAAACAAGCATAATACTTACCGGATGTGTACATGTCCATATGGAAGAGCCCGTCGCCGTCCTGTCCGTTGAGCCGGCCGTACTGGTCCCGGGGCAGCGTGGCCGCGTCCAAGTCTCGCGAGTACCAGTTCATATGGTCATCCTCCGCGAGGATCCACGGCCGCAGTCGACCCCTGCTGAACTTCGCAATCGAGTACACTTGCGAGTCGTCCGTGATAAATAACTTTGACACTGGAATAGTAAATTGTGATGAAGGGTTTTTTTTTATAGATAGGTCCGACAAATGACTCCACCCCATCTGATGTTAAGTGAAGGTGAAGTCCAGACGCGAAGATAGCTGATACAGCAGTTCTACCTGCCACACCAGCCATCCTCACCCTGCCGGCCTGCATGTTGCCTCTTCACGCCTCTTTTAAAGGATCCCAGGTTGTAAGAGGGAGGGAACACGTGAGCGGGCAGAGCATTCCATTTACGGATAGTGCGACAAAGAAATGAGTCACCAAATTTCTTTGTACGCGTTGGAATTGTGGTCACAGTAAGACGGTGACAACGTAGGCCAGCGCGCGTGGTCCTCTGGAGGAAAGGGGAAGGTGGGATAAGAGAGAATAACTCCTCAGAACACTCGCCGTGGTACAGACGATAGAACGCGCTTAGTGACGCCACGTCACGGTGTAATTGAAGAGGCGCAAGGTGTTTGGTCACTTCCTCATCGCCTATGATGCGGATCGCGCAAATTAACATTAATTATAGAGTTAAATATATTTAGTGTTGTTATGCGACCTGGAAGTCTCGGTCTAGACTTTGAATATGTTTCTTCATCCTCACTGTTGATTGTACTTTCCGAAGGTATCAGTGGAGGTTGTCGTTAATTAAATATTGATTTAGTATTATCGTTCTTTCGATGACGTAAAAATATGTGTCATGTTCGTGTTCCAACATCACGCAATGCACATAGTGTGCATATGGTCTGCGAGAGTATGTCCCATATCTGCATATAACATAATGTCATATCAATTGCATTGGATCGACTCGTAGATGTATTGTTGGTTGATTGAATGCAGTTGACTTTCATCCCTAAAGTGGTATCATTTTAGTTGTCGGTTAGGCGTCTGGTTAGAAATAAGATGGTCACCCATCCAAACTCTGTGCTTCACAAAGTTTTGCACACACCTCTGAACCCCGCGTCGCTCCAGTCATACATGCGGTTCATGTACACGTAGTGTGATATCACATTCTCACACATCGTTATGATCTTCTTCAGGCGATCCGTTTGGGTTTTCCGTAATTTAGTCCCATAATCAATGATTGTTCGTTTCAAAAGCGCTGTAATAAAAATGGCAAGAAATTTAAGTAAACTGATCAACTAAACTGTATAGTGTAGAGGTAATATTAAAATGTAATAACATATCATGTGACTATATAACAGTTACTATGTCCAATGATTACACTGTTCCAGTAGTTAAATATGGAGTAACAATTAACGCAATTTTGACTGCATGAGGCTTGTGTTGACTTAAACTCAAAAACCGTTAATAGAAAAATGGATTTCAAGACTATTACATTGCCTGATATAAAAAATTGCTTATTTTAAAAAGAAATATAATCTTTGTAAACGGTATACTCAGTATTTTTCATAGATAACGAACAAAATTTATTGATGAGACCTTCACTATATACAATAGAAATAATCACTTACATTTCGTATAAAAAGCACATAGCGCAGTGCTGACATCCGTCGAATTCGGAGCTTCGTTGAAATATCTCGAAGTGAGATGCAATCGCTCGATGTAGTGATCTATATCGGTCGCGGGGACGGCGCTGTCCTCCGGCGACAGATATTTCTCGGGAAACTCCTCTCCTCCGTATTTACGCCATTGTGCATTTGAACTACAACACATCACTCCCAGAATTGTCACAATAACGAGCATAAAATTCCATTTCATAATTAATTTTCTCACTCGTACGTCTATCGAAAGTATCCGAGTCAGCTAGCTATCGCAATTCAGGCACCGGAACTAAATCCTACTTATCAGGTGCGTTGTTTTAATTATATTGTCGGAGCGAGCGTCGTGTTTTTGCGGGGCTATTGACACCGCCCGTTACTAGAGAAAATTTACTATTTGTAACGAAATTACTGACCTATATTTATCCATGTCACGTCCGTCTGGAAGGGGGCGGCCATCGGCCGATGATGATGATTATGTCCTATCCATTACAGTGCAAATAAGTTTATATAATGTTTCATTGTGTAATGGTCTCATTCAGACAAGATATCTACAAAATAAAAATGGGTGCGTGTACTTATGTAGGCGCGTGAGAAGTTATCCTTCTTTGGCATCGTTTAAAATTAGTTTTTAATTGCATGCAAATAATTAATTACAATTAATTAATAAGAAGTCTGGAAAAGGACACAGTCAATAAAGTTCAGTTTTAATTTGAAAAAAGAAATAAATAATCAAAATATTCAATTAAAATCGTTACTGAATATAATTTATTAGAACAAAATAAATGTGATTTGCACTTGTATGAAACTCAAACACGTATTCCGAATATACAGACTAGAAACATGTGGATAAATATTATAAATATGAATACCTATAACTGTTACTTTATTACAAAAAATAAAGATGTGGTTTTTGGTTCTACTATACCAATGGTCGAGAGATGGCGCTGTAGTCTCCCGAATCGCGCTTCGGTTCCGTTGTTCCAGATTAATAAATACTTTTGATAGGCCTTCACAATGCAGTCGTTAGCACCCACAAAATATAGATTCTATTTCTATTTTGTTGGTAGATTTTCTTAATGTGCGGTAAACACAAAAGTAACAGTTAATCGCGTTACAGTGATGCGCGCGCATCTTAAAATTTCACTCTCATCATTTTTTCATAACGCGCCTAAAGAAGTATAACTTCAAAAAAACAGATTCTCCTTTACAAAAATAATGGCACGCCCCGCCACGCACGTAAAAAATAATTAAATCGTATCGCGACAGGGTCTAATGGGGTGGTACATGGTGAAGTCCGGGTTGGAGGACCGTTTCCGCGGTCCCACGGACGTGCCCCGCGTGTCCCAGTACCGGCTGGCGGCGCACCTGGGGCTGGCCTTCGTCCTGTACGCGGGGCTGCTGGGGGGCGCGCTGCGGGTGCTGCGGCCCGCGGGGACCGTCTATCGGTCGGTCAGGGAACTCAACTCCATCACTGCGCTCGCGCACACGGTCAAGGCTATGGCGTTCCTTACAGCTATTTCTGGTGAGTTGTTTCGTTTTAATGCAGGAGGTTAATGTATGATGCGATATTATTGATTGATTTCGTATTGACCCTGTCACACTATTATATTTGTTTTTTTTTAAGCGTTTAACTGCTAGATGTTTATATCTAAAGAAAAGTTTTACTAGAAAAAAATCCACGTGGACCGAATGAATTAATACCTGAAAAAGTATTCATTTGACATTGTGGGTTACGTGCGTTGTAGCTAAAGGCTAGGAAAATTTCGACGCGGCCATCAGAGCCATGGTAGCATGATTGGTCGGTGCATTCGCCCGGATTGCGAAGGGTGCGGGTGGGTTCGAGTCCCGTACGCTGCCTGGTCCGCGTGGATTTTTTTCTAGTAAAACTTTTCTGTAGAATATTATATTTCGTAAATATTGTTACAAAATCAATTTAACGCTCTGTGAAGTTTTATCGCCTGTTTTTATCCCCGGCTAAAAATGACCATAACAGAAGGTAGGGGAAATTTTTGGATGATTCAAAAGAGCCGTATTGTGCTTCCGATATGAATAAAGAAATTTTGATTTTAAATAGGATAAATGTAAAACCGGTTGCCTACTCATAGAGAAAAGAATGGCCATTTAAAGACTTTATAATTAATTAAACAAAATTATTCTTATAGTAAAATTTTCTTTAAATTAATAAATAAGTAAAAGATACAATTCAGGGGTTATATAATATTTTATTTATGAAATTTAATGGCTATACGGCGGCGTATAATCGAACATGGATTTGAATATTCAAATATTTTATATGAAATATAGTAAGTATTAGAACAAAATTTGCTTCACAAGCGGTTAATTAACAAACATTGATTAGATACCTGTCTAAAAAACGACACTACGTACTAAACGTATGGTCATTTTTTCACGGAGCTCTGAGGCATTGACTTTTCAATGGCCCGCGCGTGACTGTGAACCAAGAAGTGCTTGCGTGGCGTTCTAGCACTTTTCGGGACACATTTCGAGCACTCGTGGTGTATCTAGGGTATTTAATATCATTGTTGTTATTACCACGAGTAGTATCGGAAAGGAACGGAACGAAATAAAAATGACATTATTTTTTCATGTAAAATGGGCGACCGAATGTCGGGGAACTCGGTGCCTCGGCAAAGACGTGACATGACCGAACGAGACCTAATGTCATTTATATGAGACGAAGAAGATAGTATAATATAGGGTGAATTGGCTTTTGTATCGCTTTTCATTGGCTGTAGTTTATTGCTCAAAATAACAATACGATCATAGATTTTCGGAAACATAAAGGTCCGATAGGGGGTTGCTTAGTTTTCGACCGTCGTTTCAAATGTCAAAGTTTTCATAGAAACTTTGATGATAAGATACTATTGCGGAGCTATCAAAGTTCGCGTTTTTAGGCCTCCGATAACATAGGCAATATAGTCGAGTCGCCTCCGAAACCAACGTTATGACATGTCGGCGTTTACCCAGGCGCGTTCGTGGCGGGGCTGGACGCGGGCCTCGTGTACAACTCGTTCCCCAAGATGGGTGACCGCTGGGTGCCGCCCGACGCGCTCCACCTGCAGCCCGTCATGAGGAACTTCACCGAGAACCCCACCACCGTGCAGCTGGACCACAGGTATCATGGTAACACTGTCATAAACTCGGGTCAAACTTAAATTAAACATTTGTTATAATTTTCATTTTTAACCATGTAACTGCTCGATATTTAAATCTAAAGAAAATATTACTAGAAAATATTGCACGCGGACCAGGCTGCAGACGGGACTCAAACCTAACCCTTCGCTATCCTTTTTAGCCTTTCTTAAGCTTTTTCTTGCCTTACAGCTTCATACGTTAACATTTTTGACTGATTTTATAACATTTTTATACAGGATACTGGGCACAACCACCCTTCTGGCCGCGACCGCTCTATGGCGAGTATCGCGCACTGTCCCGCTGTCCCCCGCCGCCAGGGGGGTCGCCGTCGCCGTGGGGGCCATGGCTTGGTTACAGGTATGTATGTGTGGCTCGTGTCGCGCACTGTCCCGCTGTCCCCCGCCGCCAGGGGGGTCGCCGTCGCCGTGGGGGCCATGGCTTGGTTACAGGTATGTATGTGTGGCTCGTGTCGCGCACTGTCCCGCTGTCCCCCGCCGCCAGAACATATGAGATAATGTGACGGGCCTGCGTTGGACAGGCGGCTGTAATATAATGTATGTGTGGCTCCTTTGGCGCATCTCGTCGACTTCCCGGTGACGGCCGCGGTGGACAAACGCTCTTGCAGTGCTCTCTTTGGAACCAGGCTAATGAAGGGTTCCTGGAATGACGGCGCCAGGTGGCAGCACTGAGACGAAAACTCTACTCATCCGTCAAATCGCGAATGCCGTCATAGTCTATGGATCAATCTAAATGCTCGTTAGATTGATTCGCGCCAAAAACTCAAAGAAAAAGACCTAGCTGCGTTCGGTATTTGCATCGACGGATTTTCGGTCACGTGATCACAGATGAATCTGAGCAAATTGCTATTACCAAAGGCCCGAACAACCGTATTTATTAATTTCTAACCTCGAACAGAAACTAACCTTACAACATGATAGATAAACAGATTCATCTTTCTCGTCGATTGAATTGCTCCGAGCAAACTTACATCGGACTGATCCGAGCGGACCAAATACCAAACGGTACAGGTTTACTCTAGATGTAATAAAAGATATAATAAATGAACGATTAGACTAAAAAGATTCATCGGACACAAATAACGAACGCATCAAGTCAGCGGTGCCAACAGGGGGCCATTCGCCTAACGGGATTACTTTGGAAAACGCTGTCGCTTACGATTTGATTTTGTTATTTCTGACCGCCGAAGGATTTCAAATACCTCACACTTATTTTTTTAATGTTGTTATTACCAATGCAAAAGAAAAAAAGAGCGTGAGGCATTTGACAACCTCAGGTGGCTAGAAATAATAAAACGAAATCGTTAGGCATTAGCGTTTTTCAAAGCAATCCTGTTAGGCGAATGGCCTCCTGGTGCTGTAAATTTTCCAAAACACGATAATTGATGCGACCGTTATTGTATTGTTATGTTATTATACATCATCTTCATCATTAGCCTATTTTTTTATATATATTTATTTATTCACGTAATTACAGTGGTCTGATTAATGTCTAAGTGTGTATTTTTGTCTTTATCTTTACTGATTTGTCAGACCCAGTCCCGGGGTGACGTTATACGTATGGAATAACCCCGGGGGCTGGGGCATCATTAGCCTATTAATGTCCACACTGCTGGGGCACAGGCCTTCCGTATGAGTGGAATAGGGAGATTGGGCCATGACCCACCACGCGGGCCCAGTACGGATTGATGGGTGCTTACGACTGCAGATGCAGCCGGGACTAACGGCTTAACGTGCCTTCCGAAGCACGGAGGAGCTCGAGGTAGTAAATTTTTGGTCACCCATCCAACGACCGACCACTGCGAAAGTGGCTTAACTTCAACGATAGCAGACGAACACGCTAACCGCTTGTGCCATCGAGCTACTCCTACTCCTCACTATATTATGCTCTTATCACACTAATATTATAAAGGCGATGTGAGTGTGTATGTTTGTTACTTCTTCACGTCTAAACGGCTGGAGCGATTTTAATAAAATTTGTTATGGAGTTAGCTGACACCCTAGAATTAACACATAGGCTACTTTTATCCCGAAAAAATGTTATGTTCCAGAGGTATTTTCAAGAAACTAAGTTAAGGCAGACGAAGTCGCGGGCGACCTCTAGTTGTAAATATTTATATGAATATTCCATGTTTGCAGGTGGGTCTCGGCATCAGCACGCTACTGTGTTACGTGCCGACCCCACTGGCCGCGTCCCACCAGGCGGGGTCGCTCGCGTTACTGTCGCTGGCCATCTGGCTCACGCACGAAATAAAACTACTCAAATACATACCTAAGTAGAACACACTTCACATCTCGGAGGCCGTTCGAGTATTACGTGAGCAGATTTATTACAATTATTTACCCCCTCCTCCCCCGATCAGCAAAAGTAAGCAAAGCTCTTCCTCCCCCTCTCGCGTGCTTACGTAAACATTGGTACATACATGCATTTTTCCTTTAATATATTCTGTTTTTTTATTGATTCATGAGCTTTCATGAGCTTCATGAGCAGCAGTACTTAAATAGGCTTACGATAAAGGACTTTGACGTGCATAATATTCATTTAAACAAACTTTATTGACACGGTATTCAGCGTTGAGTAAGGTACTATTACGAAAAAAACCAACTTCTTTCAAATTTTTATTATAGGTATACCGATTAACAGTCTTCAGTCCATGACACCCGAATCCATGATGCTGACGTAATCACTATCTCGACCCCCCACCCCCCCATGTCATCAAAAATAAGCAACGCAAAGACCCCCCTGCCCCCCTATAGTGCTTACGTAATACTTGAACGGCCCCTTGCCTCACTGTTCCATTGACGACTACGACGTATTGTACACCAATAATGATAGTTGACACGTACGAGACCAGCATCACGTTTGTGATACTCCTAACAAAAAGGGAAGATATGGTACTAGCAGCTTAAGTGATCCGCTTAAATTGTGGTGCATGACCACAATTCGCTTTAGTCGCAATCGAACATTCAAACACGCTGCATGTGCACTCAGTATAACAGTATTGCATATATTCTGTGTTATAAAGAAAGAACACAAATAGTTCCAAATCAAATAACAAATGCCTCGGCAACACTTTTCATTTGTTAAAACTGTAAAAAAAAAAACTTAAAAATCACGGTTTGTCGTGAATGTTATTTACGTAATAGCCATTTTATTATCAAGAAAAGGACAACGATACAGCTCAGCCGTACGGACTCGGAAGCGGACTCGCCGTTTCGCTCGCGCTGCGTTGCAGCGTACAGTACCCCTAGCACGAACCAAAATCGAATTCGTATCGTTTGCGAGTCCGAACTGTCATTGTCAAATGTGTACTGATTTTTAGTTCTCGTTACGTACTTTGTGGCGCTGCTGTTCAAGTTTCCATACAAAAATTGACATTGACATTTCGGACTCGCAAAAGTTACGAATTCGATATTGGTTCGTGCTAGGGGTACAGTTCTGTCTCACTCCCTCGATTGAATGTTTATTTACAGACGTGTGCGTCTGTGAGAGTTCCTTATGTAGTTGAATCGGAGCATATTTGATGCTAGTATGAGCGTACCGCATCTTCCCTTTTTATTTTAATCTAAGCCTGCGGATTCCGCTGTATGATTTGAATATGTTTTAAGCTGCATGATTTAAGGTGTTTGTACACATTGTTATCATTAATAAATTATGAATAATGGTGTAAATGGGTTTTCGTAGAACAAAGAGGCATCCTGAGATGTTGTTATATGTTTTATTTTGTAAGATTTTGGGTAGGTAACTTTTGTTTATACAGGTGTAAAAGAATGGATATATAGAAAAGAGTTGATGTGATAATAATTATGAATGAGGGTAGTCTGTACAATATTATGTTACCAATTAACGTTTGCTCATTTACGATATACAACGAGCGTTTGTGTTTTGAAATATGCTCATTACACCTGTATATTATTATTGATACCAAAATTATACTTAATTGTCATTAATATACCACTTATGTTTGCAGTCAGTATTTTATAGCATTTATTGTGTTTTTCATTTAGTTAAGTAAAAACCTGAAATAATATTTTTGTAAAATATGTCCGCAGATGTATGTTTCTTTTATATAAATTCTGGCTGATTTCTTAGTAGTTCATTGTTATAGATAAAATGTAGGTATAAGAGAAATAAAATACATTTATTAAAATGTTATTCACAAAGTGATTTTTATTTGAAAATTTGAAATGCTAATATTGCTTACACACTGAAAATCTGTTTATTTACAAAACTCGCATGTTTAGCCTACGTGTCGATACATCACGGTTTGTTCACAAAGTTTTTACAGAAACAACATTGCACTTGTGTGATGAGAACAAGCTCGAGTTATTTCCGCCCTTATTACTATTGCAATAAGCGCGTAAATGACGTAAAACTTAAGCTTGCACTAAGGAAATACTGGACACACCCGACTACGAATAAAGCTCTTTTTGCCAATTAATAAACTTTATATTTATTTGACATTTATGAAAGGAGCGTCATGACAACATTTTCTAATGATTTTCATATTCGCAAAACGGAAACACTGTTAACGTAGATTGTCAACTGTCTAAAAATACATAACACATCGACTATCAAATTAAATACATTTGGTAACGATTCGAGAATCAGATTGAGTAAAGTGACGGCCTTGTCGGCGAGCCAATCTGACGCTAACAACGCCTCTATTCCATATTAAATAAAAGCTATATTCGCAGTTGAAGTATACTTACTTCCACTGAAACACTACGTTCTCCTTGTTGGCGATTTACCATTTTTAGGCGTAAATAGTTTGTCGTCTGAATTTGTTTTTCTTTTAACTAAATGAAAGTTTTAGTAGAAAAAAGTGTCAACCGACAACTATTTTTTTTTTTCAGTTAAATGCTTGAAATATATACTGAGTGGATTGTATTGTTTCCCCTCCCATTACCACAACGAGCGCGGCTTAAGGCAGTCTTCCCACTAGCGCTATGCGAAATAACTAAACGGACACGTTTTTTACAAGTATAGAATGGCGTCATTTAGCCGCGCGCTCTGCAATACTATTGGCGGAGTTTTGCTCACCGTTTAGTTGCCTCACATAATTGTAGCTAGCGAAAAGGCAAACTAAATTTACACCTTGAACTGAGACGTAAATCTAAATAAATAAATAATAAATTATGATTTATAGCGCGCAAGCATTAATGCTTAAGCCAGAAACATATTAACGTGTCGTGTCGTGTCGTGGCGCGCCAGAAGCACATCGGTAATATGTTTCTGGCTTTACAAGGTGCATACTCTTGCCGCGCGGATTGTAGCAGCAAGTTAATTTACAACGAATATTTCTAGTGTGGTTTATGGGATTATCGCCTTTATTGGCATATCGCCAACTGCATGTTCCAGCATGTGTTTGTACAACAATAATAATGGGTGTATATTACATTGAAAAGAAGTCGGAATACATTAACTATTAAAGACGATCCACATCTTAATAAATCATTTGTTTATGGACAACTCCTATCGACAGGCAAGCCTCTGTAACGGTAACCAGATCACCTGTGATTTGCTGAACTGGAACTAAGTAAGTACTTACAATCTTAGATGTCTACACATTTTTGAGCAATTATCATTTCAAATGATGTTTCGTGTCTATCATGACTTATAATATATAGTTGAAGAATATAAGTATGTCGTATCACCTTTCAGTCCAGCAAATCGACACGAAGACTTGTTAAGTGTGGTAGTGTGTAGGCCTATTGAGTTTTCAAAATATACAACGGTTACAGACTTACAGTACGCGCAGTGAATTTGTTATAACCTATCTATCTACATATTGACGATGCAGTCACACCGATCCCGCGTCGCGCTAGTCGTCGCGTCGGTGACCGATCGTTACAAGTTTTGTACAAATATTTGATATAAATACATATACGTGTGATGTTTTTCGAAAGATCCCAATACTGACTTTAACAAAATAATTTCCCTTCCAGGGGGCCAATCGCCTAACGGAAATGCTTTGGGAAACGCTAACGCTTACGATTTTATATTGTTATTTCTAGCCGCCTGAGGTTTTCGAATACCTCACGCTCATTTTTTTTAATATTGTTATTACCAATGCAAAAGAAAAAGAAAGAGTGCGAGGCATTTGAAAACCTCAGGCGGCTAGAAATAACAAAATAAAATCGTAAGCGTTAGCGTTTCCCAAAGCATTTCCGTTAGGCGATTGGCCCCCTGAATGTTACAATTAACGCCATCTAGCGTTGAGCGATGATCGATATATAAACATAATATAAGTAAGTAGTATATTACCGGTAAACGATTAGGTCGTCGATGACAGAATAATTTGTAATCTAAAATAAAATGTTACACAATTTGGATATTACCCGTATAAAGTTAGTCACACAGATTGCGTAAAATTAAATGTCAGCGAGCGCATTCGGGGAAACGTCGCGAGCGTTGTGTGCATTATAAATAAAGTCGTTTGCATTGCTACAAATAACTCGTTAAATAAACAAACGTTGTGAATTTCATTTTAGCACCATACGATAGATCAAAATATCAATATGTAAAACGTATAAATAAAACTAGCGATTTGAAAAATAAACAAGAATACGATTTTCACAATTTCTTCATGGATATGTTTCGGTTTTTTTGATAGCAAATTTACTATTGAGATCCCTATAAAATAATGTATCCAACTTATTATAAATTTAATGTTACAATTAATAAATTTATTGTGCAACTAATACTATCCGAATATTATATGTATACTTCTTACAATAAAATAGAAAGTTACCGGGGAAATACAGTTTGCGCCCCATACAATTATGTTATAATCGGACCGATACCTAAACAAACATATTTGAATATCAATCGATCGTTTAGTAAGTATCCGCGCGGTAGTTGTTTGAGCGCAACATCTGTCGGCATCATTCTGACGTATTCGCTGCAACCCCTCCTAGCACGAGCATAGCGACATGGTATATTTCACGTTTTCAAAACGCTCAGTTAAATAAATAAATATTTCCAACATTTACATCAATTTCAAACCGTTTTTAGTCTCACCAGATGGCGCCACTGTTGAGTGAGGTCCTGAAGTGTAGCTTTTAAAGTTCGTTAATACGCGCGCGTGAAATCAAAGTTTACATTTAAATCATATTTTAATCCAAATAAAAGGAGGTTATTTTTCTTAGCTCCGCTTTTAAATCACTAACATTCATTTACCCGTAACCTATATTTGCTATAAATCATCCGAGTTATTACCAAATATGAACAACAATATTTTAATTAGAAATAAACCCGCGTAGTCAACAGCTCACAAGCAATAACATTTGACATTTCGGGGACCTCACGCTACACTAGCGC